CGCTACAACCCACCTTTTCCCCGAGGGGGCCGACGCCGACGGTCCATGCATACAGCCACCGCCATGCTCTGCTACCGCCGCCGCCGCTGCTGCTGGTGCTCCACTACTACAACCTCCACCACCACCACCACCACCACCACTACTACGGGAGCCGATGATGCTGCATCTCCATCCCGACGGCCTCTCCGCCATGAATCAAGAATTGGTATCGGTTTCCTGCTATCCCGGCTGTGTAGGTGAGCAGGCACCGTGGGGGGTCCGGTGCCCACCCCCCTCTCCCCCCTCCCCTCTTCCCCAACCTCACCTGCCCGCCGCCGCCGGGTAGGTGCCGCCTTAACGCGCCCATGCAAAGTGATGCAGTGCATCACAAATGAGGATTCAAAGTTAAAATTCATAAGGGGCTAGCGCGCTTTGGCCGATACTCTCCGAAATACGCCCCACACCCTCTCGTCTCCGGCCCGATTGCACTACTTCAGCGAGATTTCGTATCACATCACGCGCGCTAAGCAGGGAGGTCGCTCAGAGCGAGACTACTCGGATCAAAAGAAACCACTTGGCAAAGTTGACCGATAATAATGTTCCAGTCGTTCTTTGGCGACAACCCTAAAATTTATTCTGCTTGTCTGTCAAATCATTTTGACCGTTTACTATGTAAACTGAAGCAAATGTATTTTCGTTTATCATTATTCATTAAATACAAAATAAAATTTGTCATCTCCATAGTGGTGGGTTGTCGACTGAAGAACTGCGCGTCGACCAGTGACACTTCTCCCTCGCTGCCGCTGCCCCGATCAGCCCAAAATCGCCTGCCTGCCTCTAGTCGGAAAAATAAACCCAGCTCAGTTTGATTATTTGTTTACGGTCCGGGTCCGGGCCTGCCCGACCAATATCTTTCGTCCCGGGCGCGCTATTTGCAGCGAGGATGACGTACAGCGGAGATAGAAAAGGGGCCTGGGCCCGGGACCGGAGAGTGTGGGGAAGGGCCCGCACGAGCAGATTGACGGGAAGGGGTTGAGGAGAAGGGGAGGAGGGGAGGAGGAGGGAAGGGGCTCGGCGAGCAGAGAACGATCAAAATTAATCTCAGGGCTAACCGGCGAACCCCATTAAGAGTTAGAGGGCCAATTTACGAGTCCGTGTACAAATTCGTTTTCATCCGCCGTCCCGAAATTAGTGAGTTGTCGACGGTCCGGTGAAGGGCCTGACGCTGCCACCGACCCCTACTTCCCCCCACCCCTCTCTACCTCTGCTCTCCCCCACCCCTACACCTGACACTCCACTGGTAAAACAAGTGTGCACAATTTGCACACCAACGTATGTGCAAGTTATGATTTTAAACATTACATGGTGTTCAACTCAAGTTTCACACTTGCGTGGTGTGCACATTTTAAACGTTTTGTAAACGTTTCAATTCGGCACACTTGGCACACAGTTCTCAGTTCTATCACTGAATCTGGATTTGTGATAAATTAACCCTCATTTCTGCCATAACTCGTTTTTTGCGATTCCTTCGATTTATCGCTTTTCTGAACATGATAAATTTTTATCGCAAAAAAACATGCAATGAAAAGTATAAGGGAAAGTTATCATAAAAATAATGTGATAATTTTTCATCGCAAGTTTTTGTGATAAACGTAAATACTAGCTCCCGTTATACACTAAACTTTGCGATGAAAAGTTATCATGTTATTTTTGTGATAACTTGCCCTTATACTTTTCATTGCATGTTCTTTTGCGAGAAAAAGTTATC